GTGTTGTGTGTGCAATTTTTTGGCGCGCGGCGCGGGGTCTCTTTTGGCCGGCCCCAATTTTTTTTCCAGAGAGGAATATTTTTTTTTCAGAGGCGGGCCGTATTAAAATGACCAACGGGCCGGATGTGTCCCGCGGGCCGTAGTTTGCCCACCCCTGATATATATTTACTGGTTAACAGATATATTTTCTTTAAAGTTTAGTTGAAAAATTGTGGTTAAAATTGTTTTATGACTTTGATTGAAACAACTATTTTCTTACTTTACCTTTTACATGCATTTTTATTGCATAATTTTTAAACTGCATTTCAAAATAGAATTAAATTAATATAGGAGATCAAGAACAGTATTAAGTTGATTGAAGTAACGAAATGATTTTAATGAGATATGTGGGCTGGGTTTAGCAATATCATGTTGCTCATATAGGAAGTAACCTGTAGTCTCTGTTTGTGTTGAAACTAGTTTAAATCCCATATAGGGCATATAATAAAACAAAATTGTATTTGTATTTTGACTGCCTACAATGTTCTAAATTTGTAAGAAGTCCTACCTGGCCCTTGAAAACCATCTGGAAGCTTCAAATGGTTCAAATTGTAATGATTCAAGCAATAACAGATGCTTCTAGTTATGCCAGTGTGCCATCACTGCTACATGATCTGCATTGGGTTCCAGTTGACTCCTGGGTGCAGTTCAAGATGCTATAAAGTCCTTCATGGTATAGAGATTGCCATTTGAGAGACTGCCTGTCTCCAGTTGTTTTTGCCCAACCAGTGCTTTCAGACAGAGTGGGTGTGTTTCAAGTCCCATCAATTAAGTACTGTCTTATTGGGGATAAGACAATGAGGGTGCATTCATTCCTTGTTGACACCTGGATCCTCAGGAACAGCACCCCCTCAGAATAGACATAGCTCATACTCTCCTTGGTTTCTGGGAGTATCTTAAAATCTGATTTTGTTCCAAGACTGCAGTTAGAAATCCTGCTAAGTTTTTGCATGTTGGGGAGTGTTGTTTGGCCTGGGCAGCTGTGTGGGGTTTTTTTTAATGTTTTTTTAATCTATGTATTGGAATTATTGGATGCTTCCCAGAATCTTCTGGGAGTTGGACCACTTTATCAAATCCAATCAGTCAAATCATATTCTTTTCTTGCTTTAATGGTAAGGGTAAATAAAATGGACATTACAAAAAGATCAAGGAGAGAAAGAAAGGTTTGTATTTATGAGTATTTAAGTGACAGAACTACAGATATTTTGATTATGACTGACATGATTAAAGCTTTTTTTTACTTAACTAAAGATCTCTTATATATACATGTTTAATATATTGAATTTAAATTTGAACTAATAATCATAATAATGATTCTCTATACCATAAAATCATCTACTGTAGCTAAACATAAAATATTTCAGTGACTTGGATTGGTCATGCAATATATTACCGTGTTTCTCATATAATAAGGCTGGGTCTTATTTTTTTTTGAGCCCCGAAAAAATGGCTAGGCCGTCTTTTCGGGGGTGACTTAATTCCCCCCCTTGCATCTTTGGGCGGGCGGCGACGGCTTGGATGTTGACCTCGGCGTTGGTGGGGCACTTCGTATCGGGGTCAACGCAGACAGCACCATATCCGGGTGTGCAACAAAAGTACTTCCTAACGGCAAGCCCCCCCACCATTCCCCCCCATTTCGCATGTTTTAATATAGGCCTTAATTTGGGGGGAGGGGCTTAATTTCATTTCATGCCTATAAAACATGCTGGGACTTCCTATTGGGGGAGGCCGTATTGTTGGAGAAACAGGGTAGAAAGTTAAAATCTGACCTACATATTAAAATCTGGTCTGCTGCACAATTTTGCATTCCATTAAATATGACATTCAGAATGCCATTGTACTCTATTGTCTTCCTTTTGTCTGAACCCCATTTTAAGATTGGTTTGGACTATTTCATATACTTTTAGACTTGATATAATGGGTAAAGTGAGAAATGGAAATATTGGGCATTTCCATGTTTTCATCATATTGAACAATTTTTATTGACTGGGGGAGAGAAAAGTCATAATTTGTATCTTTATTACAGTTAGATATATAGGTTTGTAATGATTTTATTGCTATTACTGTTATAAGCCACCCATAGTTGTCTTGCAGCAAAATGGGCAGCAAACAAATATAACAAACAAATAAATAATTGATATTGCATAGGGGCATATGAGTCTAACATCTGATCCATCTGATCAGAGTGTCAAGCCCGAAATTGACATAAGTGAGGCCATTTTAGTTTGTCTTAGTATATATTCTTTTTCTTATTTTCTCTGTGGCAGTAATGGGGGGAAGGATTTTGGGCTTGACACATTCCTAAGGGGGGAGGAGTGGAGATAAAGAGAGTGTTATGGCTAGGTGATCTTCTTTCCCATGGGAAACAAGCTGTCCGAGTTTGGGCCTTTGGAGATGGAGATTTATGACATCAAGCAACGTTGGAGAATGTGACTTTGGGGGGTTGTTTCTAACTTCTACTATTGTGAGGTAATTCCGGGTTGGGTCAGATCCGGAATTATGGACTTTGCCAATTTGATGCTTTCCTAAATAAAAGAAATCTTTTTGAAGATGGACTTTGTTGTTTTTCTTTTAAAATGGATTTCATTACTTGGAAACCTGACACAGAGAGTCCAGTGGAGGTTTAGGCTAATAATCATTTTTCAAGGGCAGGCATGTGCAGTATTGTCTTCTATCTGCCCCTTCTCCCCCCTCCAGTGTATCAGGAAGGCATTTTTTTTCTGCTGCACACATCAAGCGAAGTATGCTTGTGCTGGCACAAATTACGCTGTTCAATTTACCTCTTATACTTCATTTCATAGTAAACAAATATGTCCAATAGGTTCTCTGTAGCAAGAACAACCCATCTGCTCCAGTGTCTGGTCTGTCTCTTCCATGGCCAATTTCGGCTGCCTGCTCTCTTCCAAAGGAACTGATCACTGAATCTGTGCTTGTATGCTTATTTACTTTCTATTCTTGATGCACTGATGAGATGCTGGACTTTATTTGCTTTTATTTTTATATAAACTCATTGTGCAAAAGTGGAATGCTAACTAAGCCTTTTTGTACACATCTCCCGATTAAAAAAAATGAAATGGTGGACCTTTTTAAACCACGAGAAGTTGACAAGAACTCTCCCAGTTTCTTCTTCAATCTAGTCTAAATATCAATAAACATAGTTCAACTTAATTTTATTTTCCTTTCCCCCCCTTTTTTTTACAATTTCACTGATGAAGCTTTGAAACAGTGTATCTTTTTTAACCAGGTGTAATTGACATAATTCTGCCAGTTTCATTTTAAGCCACAAAAATGAGAAGAATAGTAAAACAATAGGGGATTTTTTAAAAGAAGGGATTTATTAAGTAATAATAAATCTCAAGTAGCTTAAAGATGCAGGACAGAAAAGTCCCAAACATCTGTTGAGTTAAGGAGTACTACTGGAAATCTACACCTTGTGACACCAAAGGATAAAAAAGATTATGGTCAGATTCATAGCCTGATCAATTATAGATTCTTCTGCTAGGAAAATCATCTGACATTTTTGGCAAATGAATTTGGTTTGCTAGCCATATTTTGTCTCTCATTTGATTTCTGCTCTGTTTACCAAAATGACAGCCTAAAATGCTGTTCAAAATAATCGGCATGGAATATGCTCTGCCTCTTTTCTTGCTGAGAATAGGCATCTGTGTTAGGATTCTGTATATGACATAGATAGCCCTGCAGTTACTTATACAAATTATACAGAAGTGCTTTATTTTGAAGCTGCAGTGTTGGTAAATGTATTTTGATAAGCTTGAGTATTTGTTTGAGAGGCATGTTTTTTCTCTTGACTGAGCTTTCTAATGATTTGGCATCTATATTATTTATGCATTATTTGCCTGAAACAAAATGTATGTCCATACGTATTTAAACAGTGTGCTTGGAATCTGCAATTTGATGCAGGAAGGAGCTCAAATACCTTTTTTGATCAATGTTTTGCTGAAGGCTCTTCTAAATTTGCTGTCTCTCTTCTAATTTTTTTGCTTGGTTTCAGCCAATATGGAATTAAAGTACATTCTACTAATTTGTTAATAATGATGTATTTTCTAATATAATCTATAAGATTTTCATGCAACTTTGAGAAATAAGCCATACTAGTGATTATTATTGGCATGAAGATAATCACAGGTGCCATTTAGAATTATACAGAAAAATATTTGGCTTTTATAAATGTATCTGTGCACATACTTACTTACAAAATTGATTAAATAATGCAGTATAAAATATTATGTTTCTAATTTGTATTTTTAATGTTGTTGATTTCTTTGAAATATACCTTCACCCTCATTTACTTATTCATTTGTATTCCACTTTTATTATTTTTGTAAATAACTCAAGGTGGTGAACATATCCAGCATACCTTCTTTCTCCTACTTTCTCCACAGCAGCATCAATCCTTAGTAAGACCACACCTAGAGTACTGCATCCAGTTTTGGTCACCACATTATAAAAAAGATGTTGAGTCTCTAGAAAAAGTACAGAGAAGAGCAATCAGGATGATTAGGGGACTGGAGACTAAAACATATGAAGAATGGTTACAGGAACTGGGCTTGGCTAGTCTGGTGAAGAGAAGGACCAGGGGAGACATGATAGCAGTCTTCCAATATTTGAGGGACTGCCATTTGTCAGAAATGGTGTGGGGTCTCTTGCTTGGGCAGGGGGTTGGACTAGATGACTAGGTCCCTTCCAACTCTGATTATCTGTTATCTGTTAATCCAATGACATGGGTTGGGCTGAGAGAAGAGTGACTGCTCTAAATCACCCAGCTGGCTAAGATGAGACTGGAATTCACATCCACCTGTTTGCTAGCATAGTGCCTTAATCATTAGTCCCAACTAGCTAGTGATAGACATTACTGATTTTGGGGTGCAGTTTTGTATATTTTTAGCATAGGCAGAACAAGTGCATTATTTTTTTAAATCTTAAAACACATATGTTGCAAACAATCCTCCAAAATCTTTCCAACAGCAATAAAGTGGTGGGGAAAACTCTCCACTTATAGGAAGATTTTGTATAATGTTTTGATTTGTTTTGTCTATGGCAAAACCTTTAAAGTCTTGTAATGTAAGTAGCATATATGTTGATATATATATTTTAATAACTTAACAATTTCTTTATATAATTACAGTTCTGGTTGGATCCTACAAAAACTCTTGCAGAGCATAAGGAACTGATAAATAGTATGTATATAATTTGAACTTTATAAATATTGTTTAGTGACAGATAGGCTTAGGAAGTACATCTGTAAATCCAATCTTTTTGAGAAATCTGATACAAATTATTGTGAGTTTATTTTGTATGTACAAATATTGATCAATCTCAAAATTGAATGTACTGATTTGAGTGCTAAATTTTTATTTTTCCACCTGTGTACAAATATTCTTACTTTAAACTGTTTCTGTTTTATTGTGGTGTGTGTATGAACAATTTTGATAGCTTATGATTCCTGCCCAAGAAATTCAGTGGGGATATCAAAAAGCTATATTAATTCTATATGCTTGTGTATATATATGTGCGGTATATTGATATTACAATTTCAATATCTGAAAATTAATTGGGGCAGTCCAATGTAAATGGATTTTGAATTGTGTTCTAAGAAAAAAAATGGGAAGATAATTTAATAGCTGTTAAACCACAAACTAAAACCACAAACAAAAACAGGTGAATGCTTGACAATAAAATATCAAAGAAAAACAAGGTATCAAAGTATATTCAGATATAAATTATATGCTTATGCATTTAATTTTATATAGTTTTCTTATTTCTAACAGCTGGTCCACCTTACACATTGTATTTTGGTGTTAAATACTATGCAGAAGATCCGTGCAGACTAAAAGAAGAAATCACCAGGTACTCTTAACAACAATAACAAAATAAGACTTAATGTGATTTTAAAGTAGATTGAAAATTGACTATATTTCAAGGCAAAAGAAAAGAAGTGAAGCTTTAATTTATTCAGTATTAACAATACAATATTTTAAAAATAGTGAGAAATAGCTCATTCAAATCTCTTGAGTCTTAGTGAGAGGCAGTAATGTTCAGTCTAATGGGTCTTAACTTTATATGCGCATAGTCCAACATTGTGTTCTGCTCGTTTTGTATTCATGTGTGTTGTTGGATGCTCTGTTGAGAAAAATGTTTGGGAAAAGGAAGAAGGAACTTACAAAGCATAAAACGGAAATAAATGGGGAATAAAAAAAAAATCATATTCCAGTATATATGTTCACAATGTATGAAAAGCTGGCATTGCATATAATGCCTAGAAAATCTAGAATGTGTGAAGACTTTATGCAAAGTATGATATTTCAGTGTTATTTCAATATGCTATATATTTTCCCTAGGCATTGTATATAATACCTACCCAGGCATTATATAGAATAGCAAGAACTATTTAGACAAAGTATGAAAAGAGAGTGATGAAAAGGTTTGGGATTAGGGTTAGAGTTAGAATTAGCCTAAGACTTTCTTAAAACCCTTTCTTGAAAAGATGTATATGAAAATGTAAAAAGAAATGCAAAATAAAGCACAGGACTGAAGAAAAAAATAACCAGGACAAAAAGGCAAGAATTGACCTACTCGTTGCAACAAGGAAGGCTAGGATGGCATTTTAGTGGAAGTATTTATATTTGGGCAGTTTGCCTTTTGGTACATAGAAATATGTGAAATATTAAGCATTATATACTTTGACATTCCATCTTGACATTATATAGATAGCTTAGGCTTTCTATAAAATGTCTAATTTCACACATTGATAGTAACATATACATCATTTTTCTTTCTTGACAAAAATATATTAAGAGCAAAAACAATTCATTACATTCATAGTATTAATCACTATCCTTCTAGAAGTACAATGGACAACTCAGATTTATACTTTATATATTTGATTTTCATATTTTATATAAGAAATATTTTAGAATATTTTAGAAATATTTTATATATTTCTGTAATGAAAGATCAAAAATCACATAAATAATGTTTGGTTTCTGCAGACCGTTGTAATTTCTGTGTAGCTGTTTAGTAAGGGAAACCCTTTACAGTGGTTTGACTTTAGCATAAGACTTGAAACTTACGTTATCCGGGTCAACAACCTCATAAATTAATATTTTTATTCTGCAGACAGTTATGGTTGAATGCATGAATATATGTAGGAAGCCAGTGTGATTTTAGTCATCTTAATTGAAGTTAAGCTTATATGGAGTGTGTGCTTTGCAAATATTTCAAACTTAGTAATGCAGACATGTTTCAAAGTGATCTAAATCAGTAGATACTTTTATGGCTATTCACTATATACACAACTTTCACTTCTTAATATTAATTGCATGGTATTCCTAGCATACAATACCATAGTGCCATATCAATCAATCAGTTAAATCCTTACTTTAATCATAGACCAGCATAAAATATAATAAGTAAAGATTACACCCATTTTAATAACAAAGCTGAAACTTATAAGACATAAAAGATCACTAAAAGCTAAAACTGTCAACATAATACTATATATACTACTATATTATATTTTATATAATACTATAATATTAAAATACTAATATATATTTCTATAAAGATTCTTATACTGAGACTATGGACTGGTGAGAGACACCCTTAAACCACAAAAAGGATGTCAAAGCAAATAAAGATTTAAAACTAATAACAATAAAAAGATTCTCAGCAAGTATACCCAGGCCAAGGATTCTTAACTTCACATACATTTGGAGGGGGAAAAATTAAAGATAAATAAACCAAACATTGATTGTTTATAATAGATGAAATATGACCTTCCTAAATAAGCATTAATAGTATAGATCACACACACACACACACACAATTTTATTTGGTCTGTGTTTTCTGGTGGCAATACATTTGACTGTCCGATGGCCTTGGGAAGGACTCAAAAGGTAGACAAAAATTCCAAATCCAATCTAAAGATTTGTCTGATCGAGTGATCAATCAACCATAATAATACAAATTTGTTAGAGCAGTCCCACTACAGAAGACTCTCAGGGGTTTAGAATATCCATTGTACAATTTAAAACATAACCAACATAACAACCTGGACAAAGCAACCATACCAATAATAAAACAGCAAAAACACTTCGATTAGAGACCTGAGTACAAATCCCAGTTTTAAGAGCCTTCCAAAACCCTAGCAAATATATCTCCAAGAGAGAGATATACATCATGCTATATATATATTTGGAGGATGCAGTTCAGGGGAGCAGGTGCTGCACAAGAGAAGATGCACTCCCCGAGTTCCCTAAGATGACAGCATTTTATTTTAGAGAACCTGGAGCTCACCACTTTGCTTGAAAGCACAGGAGGGCAGAAATGATTAGATACAGGTGATCTCACAGATAACCAGGTCCTGTGCTTTAAAGATGACACTAGTACCTTGAATAATACCTGGAAGTCAACAGGTAGCCATGCAGCTCGTGTGGCAGTAATGATGCTGCTTCAGATGACATGTGACAAAAAGTCCTTGTTACTGCTTGTGCCAATGCATTTTGGATCTATAGGTTCAGGAAGGTCTTCAAGAACAGTCCCATGTAGACTGTTTGGTCTAGTGGTTAAGGCACCAAGCTAGAAAGCAGAAGACTGATTTCAGTCCTGCCTTTACCATGAAGGCCTATTGGATGACCTTGGAGCAGTCATTCTGTCCCAGCTCAACTCACCTCACAAGGTTGTTATTGTGGGGAAAATAGGAGGAGGAAAATAGGTTGGATGTGTTTTCTAACATAGGTTATTTGTAAAAATAATAAAATTGGAAAAATGAATGAATGAATAAACATTCTACTAGTCCAGTCATGAGATGACTAGAGTGAGAATAACCAGCTGAAGTATTCTTGGTCAAGGAGCAAGGTAGGTGAAATAAACCTGTGTAAAGATTGCCTTGGCCACAGTGACTACCTGTTCATGGAGCAGAAACTGTGTGTCCAGGAGGACTCCCACATTCTTCGCTAGTTCTTGCATGAAGTGCAACCCCATCCAAGACTGAAAATAGAAAGACATCCAAAACCCAGAGGGCCCAAATAGCCATAGCCGCTCAATCTTGTCAGGATTCAGCTGGAGTATGTTCTTCCTCATCCAGACCAAAACATCCTCCACAGACTGTATTAGTGCATTAATAGGTTTAGCTGTGCAGCCAGGGTTGAGATACACAATCAGACATTATCCACATACTGATGATACCAAACTTCATGCTGACAATTGCTTTTACCCAGTTAGTTCGTATAGGTGTTAAACAAAAGGGGAAAGTGTCAAATTCTGAGTCACTTCACATGTGAAGGGCCACTAGTGCAATCTCTCCATTCTCTCCAATAATTTTAATCAGGACTTGGTTATCTTTTGATTTACACTTTTATGTAATTTTCAATTTAAAAATTATGTCTAAAATGAATATGCTAAGGATAATTATTTATGAAAATAGTGAAAAACATTACAAGCTAATGTGGAAATAAGATGGAATTGATATGTATTTGAATACATGTGGAACTAAATTAAAGCACAATCTCATCTCAAACTTAAATGAACAATACTAATATAAATTAAATAGTATAAATAAAACTGTTGCATAGAAAAATGAACACGTTAAGGAATTTACAACTATATGAGCTAATGCTCATTTTGCATTTGTTTCAGGTATCAGTTCTTTTTGCAAGTAAAGCAAGATGTCTTACAAGGGCGTTTGCCTTGTCCTGTCAACATTGCTGCTCAGTTGGGAGCTTATGCAATACAGGGTATGTGCTGATACAGTATTTCCCTTTTTAATACTGTCTTTTATTTACAGTACAGGTTTGATTACTGTATTTTTCGGTGTATAAGACGCACTTCCCCCCACAAAAAAGTGGGGGTCTTATACAAAGTCTTATACAGCAAGTGTTGCCAAAGCCCCACTCACCTGCCGGCCCCCACCCTTCGGCCTCTGTCTCCCAGCAATTTACTTCCTTGCCGCAAACAGCAAAGCAGCCTGGTCAGCTTCAGCACAGCCTGATTTAGCACAAGCAGCTGATTGTCAGTGGGATCTGCCTCTCGACAGTCAGCTGTTTCAGGCTTCAGAGATTGCTATCGCCTATTGCCACTTCCGCATGCCCCATTTTCAGCCTCCACGTCCTATTTTTGCCCTCTGCACACCCTGTTTTCAGCCTCTGCGGGCACCATTTTCAGCCTGTTCCGATCCCCACTGCCTGGAACGGGCCAAAAATGGGGCCCGTGGAGGCACCAATAGGTGACGGCAATTCCTGCAGTCTGAAAAAGCTGTTCGTCGGGAGGCAGATCCAACGACAATCAGTTGCTTGTGCTAAATCAGGCTGTGTTAAAGCTGACCAGGCTGTTTGCTACAAGGAGGCAAATTGCTGGGAGGCAGAGGCAGATTTTTTTTTCTTGTTTTCCTCCCCAAAAGCTAGGTGTGTCTTATACTTTGGAGCGTCTTATAGTCCGAAAAATACGGTATATCTTAAAGCCTGTGTTTCTTTGAGTTGAATGTAGTAGGTTGTTATGAATTTCTTCTTCAAGATACATTCCAGAGGGATAATAAATGCATGCATTGGGTACCTATGTTCACACAAGGTTGACTCACACATAATGTGAGATCAGCATTTTTAGTCATGGTTTCCTAAAAAAAATATTGATTCCTGTTTCAAACATAATGGTTTAGGTTCACTAAACCAAGTGTACTAGATTAACTTTGGAACAATGTTCAAGAGTACCAAAATTTACTGTTGCGTATAGTTTTGCACACTAAAAATTGTAACTTTATCCCAACAGATCCACTCCATTTTGAATTTTCAATGGGGAAGGGAATAATACTTAAGAATAAAAATAAAAACTTAAGAATCATCGCTTCACTCTTTTCTGTCTTCAGTCTAGAATCCAATATCCTCTTTTCAAAGTATTGTTCTAAAGAATTTCAGAACTGAGGGAGATATTGACGATCATTGAGGGGAAGGGAGGGAGGCTCAGGCAAAGATTGCCTACAGAAATTGCTTGCTCCACCCCCACCCCTGAGATTGGAGAGGAAGAGATTTCAAGAGAGTGTTGTAACTGTTTGCATAGCCTGCCTATACCTCCCAGCACCAGTTTGCAGGTGCAATTGCATTGTTTTTGATATGTACAAGACAGTAGGCAGACACTTGAGCATTCCAAAGGGTGAAGGGAATAGTTAGAAGGCAAATAAAAGCCAAATGTAACACTGAGTGGTTATGTCTCTTTCCAATCAGAAAGCACATGTGATTTCTCACTTAATGACTGCTTTGCTTAGGGTTATTAAGGGAAGACTATCATTACTAGGTTGCCACCAATCTTGGTGGAATGTGACTTCTCCCTTGCTGCTATTTCCTGCTAATCTGCGTGTTGCTGGGGAGGTTATATTCTAGGCTGATCACTTTTAGATTATCAGAGTTGGAAGGGACCTGGAGGTCATTTAGTACAACCCCCTGCCCAAGCAGGAGACTCTACACCATTTCTGACAGATCACAGTCCAATCTCTTCTTGAAAGCCTCCAGTGTTTGAGTGCATTTCTCTAGTTGGATACTATAGAAATAATGTTTCTTTCCTTCCTAGACTTTTGATTGTGTCTTTTAAATAGTGTGTAAATGAGGTTTATCTCTGTGTGTCTATTGATGGTGAAGTCATCTGAATGCCAAACTTTCAGGAATCCTCTAGGATTTTGGATTTGGCTTGATCTAAAACGTTTAGTTTCCCAGTTGAAAATGATTAAAGCTGTCCATGTATCATCATTAAGCGAAGCAGTCACTAAGTTGAAAACTGTATAACTTCTCTCCTCTTCTCCATCCTTTGGAATGCTCATCCCAGCAATGAGATAGCCAACTAGCAGCTCATATCTATAACTGACTAATCAGTTTCACACTTTAAGCTTTTGTTTTCCACCTAATAATTTTACTTCTGCTTTCTTTTTTCCCCACTCCTTCACCATTTGGAATTCTCACCATAGCACTGGGATAATTAATAAGGAAATTAATGTCCATATTTACATTCATTGGAAGTGAACAGATTACAAAACAGTAAGGAGACACACAATGGGGCATATACATCAAAAGGAATGAGGTGGCTGTGAACGTGCTATGCAAACACTTGGTATGTTCCCCATCGTGTATACATATGTATGATTACTCTCTTGTAATCCATTACTCTCCAGTCTCTATGGGGCAGACGGGAACATGTCAAATGTAGGAGAGATTGCCTACAAAAATTGTGTTTGTTTTTCCCCCTCCTGCTGTTTTTTAAGCAATTGTCTCTGCAAGTAGGAAAAGAGGAAAAAAAACAGGCTATCTTTGTCAGCAATTTCTCCTGATCCAATTTTTTTTCTCACTGTTCCCTCACAGAGCAAAGAAATTGGTGAAGAAATAATTACAAGGGAGTAAACAGGCACCTGGGTCTGTTAGCACCACTGCATTCCTTGCAATATATATCCACCTCTATATGACTGTTTGCTCACTTGTAATTTCCTTTTCTCTCATTTTTCTTCTCTGAAAGGCAATACAAAAGAAAAACAGGTCAGACGAAGGACAACGCATACTCACTGTAATGCCTGTTTTAATGCAACCTGTAAAATGGGATCCATATTTATTTTTTTCTGTTGTGAATGGATGTTTCTGTTCTCATTTCCTTTTCCATATTGCTGTTACACTTTTTGAATTAAATGCTATAATCTAGTTTAATTTGGTTAAGATTATATTATTTCTAGTTGAATAATTTCAATAAAATATTTTATGTGAATGTCTATGAAAAGTATGCAATCAAAAAATTCGTATTTTTGTGTGTATTGTACAGCTGAACTTGGAGACTATGATCCATGCAAGAACACTGCAGGTTATGTTTCAGAGTACCGTTTTGTTCCTGACCAAAAAGAAGAATTAGAAGATGCCATAGAACAAATACACAAAACTCTGACGTAAGAATTTGGTTTTATTAACTAATGTCAAATGACAACTTGTGTAAAGAAAAAGCACTAAAGAAGCAGATCTCTCTGAAAAGGATCTTTAGTTTGATTGCTTTTTAATGCTTATGTCCTAGATCCCTTTCTTATCCATCCAGAACAAATGTAAGTATGATGCATTCTGGTTCAGTGTTTTCTGCATATTGTATGTATATTACACCCAGGATATGATTGTGATTTTTAACTGGAGAGGTTTGTCTGGATATCTTAACTAATTTGTTTTTCAAAATTATGGTTTATTTAGTAAAACACAGATGGCTAGGTTCATAACCATAGACAATTATCTAGGTGGAAGCATCTGGACAACTTTGTCTTGATTTGGAAGCTAAGTAGGTCTTGGCCTGGCTTATATTTAGATAGAAGACAGTCAGTGACTATTTGGGGGTTATAAAGTAGAGTAGGAAGTTAAAATATACCCCAGGGTAAGGCAGTGAAAATAACCTTTTTGCTGCTGCTAAGAAAATTACAGAAATATTTCTGTGAAATTGTAGCAACTGAGTTGACTTGAAAGAGGCTTCATGTTTTCATAATGATAAGTATATTTTACTACATTTATAAACTATGGTTTATAAACTAATGAATTCATTTACATTTCATGTTATATCAGACATACGCATTCCACGTTGTGATTTAGCATATGCAAATCTCACCACTAAATAGTATAGATAAACATGAAAAAATACTGGCAGGAAATCCTGTATATCTATAGATTCAGAAGCATGACACATTTAATCAAAGTGGTGGGGGCAAAAAAAAGATGAAAGCAATCTATAAACTACTAAAACTCTTGATATTTGTATGAAACAGTGCATCACAGGGCAGTAATCAGGGGAAACATGATAACTGTTCATCCAGTACTTGAGGGACTGTCACAAAAAAGGAAGGGATTGACTTATTCTCTAGGCTAGGGCACTAGAATGCAGGACAGGAAGTAATGGGTTGTCAAAGTTTGTTGAAGAGATGCAACCTAAGAAGTAAGGAAAAAATTTCTGACAATAAGAGCAATTAATCAATGGAATAGCTCACCTCTTGGGGTTGTGGGTGCTCCATCACTGGAGTTTATAGATCTATTTGGGGGAGGACAAACAAAATTAGAGGAGACCTCAGTTTGCTTATTGCCACATTTTGTATATTGAAGGATCTATGAAAGAAACAATTTTTTTTGACATTTTATCTGTAACAATGAGTAACATAAATTCTTCTATTAGGACAGTTAATCACATGGACATAGAAGCAATTTGTTTTTCTTTGTATTGAACAAGTTCAATATGTTCTGTGATCAGTATTCCACAAAATCACAATAAAATCAGTACTAAGCACAAATAACTATAAAAGAGGAATTTTATTGCAGTGTAGTCAATTCATAGGGAGTTCTCTAAGCAAACCGATTTTTTTGTCTACCAGACTTTTAACATTTTCCTCTGAAGAAAAACTGTTGAAAACACAAAAGAATTTGTTAAGGTTCGAATTATTCTAAATTTGGAGATGATTATTTCATGTAAATATCTTGCTGACCTAAAAAAGATTAACTTCTAAAATATAGGTCTCTAAGCAAAGCAAACTGATCTTGTTGTCCTTCCAAATGCATAATGCTGCTTAAGAAATGACACTGCCTGCTCATAATTCATCATCAGATTGCATCTTGTGAAAACTCCTAGTACTTTGACTTCCGCTGGAATAATTTTCAATATCTTTCAAAATTATCTTCAAAGTCAAAGAGTATAAACCCATAGGAAAAGGCAGTAACTTAGTAAGAAAACATAATCATATATTAGTCTTTACTTTGATCATTCCAGTCTCTTGAAGGAGAACTGCACTGGACACATATTCTCTCACTTTAAATTTATTCCTTAAAATGTTGTCTCTATTTTTTTGAGGAATCAAAGTTTATACAGTCCCATTTGGACTCCAGATAAAATGCATGAGCTTTAGCTGAAAATACTAATACTGTACTATACTGTACTATACTGTACTATACTGTACTATACTGTACTATACTGTACTATACTGTACTGTACTGTACTGTACTATACTATACTATACTATACTATACTATACTATACTATACTATA